CTCGAATTTAACTTTGGACCTTTTCTTATCCAAATAAGAACGCTTTCTATTTGGCAATAATTTGCAGTTACTGCTTTTTGCGGACGGCACCCACCAATCATCGTTGACCAGTGCGTATTGACGTTTGCACGGGGAATTAAACTCTGTGTATTGGATTTAGGGAACAGTTTTGCGTGTTCGGTTTTCGGGTGAGTAGTTAGGGGGTCAAGGCGTTAGTGGCGTATTGTGGATTCGATTCCCAGGTGTACAGGGCGTCGGGGCACGTACGCGGACACTTAAAGACAGCCACTTCTAAGATGAAGGGAGGTCCGTCATAAAAATTGGACGGCACAAAAACTGGTAGAGTAGCCTCGTTAAGTAAACAGAACTGTACCCAATATTCATTTGTTTTGATTCGGTATCAGAATTAATGAAAGATTCGTTTCCAATTTATTTTAAGTATATACCTTAGTGCTTGTTGGTTTTGGATTATTTTCTTAAGAATTTGAAATATTTATTATTTCTTTTCAACCATGTTAATACTTATCTTATTATTATTATCTTTAAACCAGAAAAAGTAAATGTATCAAAGAGAAAATACTCAAACATCAGCAAATAATCTACACAAACAAAGCAGATATTCCCTTCAAAATAACGCTTAAAGTATGATCAGCCGTGCTATTTTGTAAGAACAAACTCACTTTTCACCACGAAATCCGGAATACCATCACAGATTCCGCGGTATAAAGTGAGTTTCATCTTGCAGAATGCACTGACAGATCAGTCTTTTGTTTTTAAATTACAGCCCGAAAAAATTACAATATAATAAAGGTACGCTTACAAGTAGAATGTTATCAATGTTAAAGTATTTTTTCTTTCTAAATGACGTAAATTATTCGTTTTTGGTCAGAAATTTAGAAACAAAAGACTGGCGCTGCTCTCCACGTCACGTCCGAAGTTAAAATCTCTCCGAGAGACACTGGAATCGGGAACGGAGGCTACTTATCCGTACCGATGTAACTGGCCTGAATGCGTCATAAAAGCCATTACGTACGTTCGCTCTCCGACAAAAATCGGATTCTGAACTGTGTTCCTTTCGACGGAGGAAAATTTTAATCCAGCAATGAAAACCACTCTTCGAGTAGTAGGTATTGGTTAGAAATTGTTAATAGTAGGAGCAATTAAATGTTTTGCTGATACATTTTTTAAGAAAACTATTGTACCTATTAGAAATTAATGGTTATTACTTAAATATTTTTCTTTTTCACACTAGAATTTTTTTGGAAAGCGCTGCTAATCTGCTTTCCACATGTCAAAGGTCAACCACAAATTTCCTATCTTCACCAGACATTTTAAGCCAGTGGTCATGGTGTTTGTGAATTATTAGGACTAGCAATGAAGACTACGTATCCTTTATTTATGTTTTTGTTATCTTTAAATATATACATAATATAACATAATATTAAAAAAGTGTTATGTGTATGTCAGTTGATATCTTATTAGTGCAATGATAAAAGAGCATAGATGAGTTTCATTGTTAATAAATCTTTTACAATATTCGAAAATATCATTCTGGTATACAACCCGGCAAAATTCTTGAGCACATAATTTTACATACAAAAACGTCTACTGGTCTACTGCGCAAGTTTATTTAATTTGTCTTTGATTTTACTGAAGAAGTTTGCCTCTATCTTTTATTTGTTACATATAATTTCAAAGTTCGAATACAATTAGAATCAAACACGTTTCACGTAACTTATAACGTATGATCGAATGAGTAAAGAAATGAAGTTATATAGTGCCTTAATAAGGGTAACAAATAATCTTTATTATGAACATGCAACCAGACATAATTGTGTCTAAAAGTCTCCCCTCGACCGGTGACGTCACAAATCCCACGTAACCATATATCACGGACAAACTGACAAGCTGCGATATTAGCAGAGGTGTTGAAGGATATTATAGCTAATTTCGGGGGGACGTATAACATTAGCGACGATGTTACGTTTTCATTGTTCGTAAGTGCGTTAGTTACTAGCAATAAATGGCGATTGGACTTTTGACTTGGTGTTAGTCTGTTCTTGTCTTTTTAAGTGGCATTTGGTTAGTTTACGCTTATTGATTTTTCTATACTTGATGTTTTTTAACACTTTAAATTTAAAATCTTTACAAAGTAGCAATTACATCCTTTACTCGGAACCTCACAGCATATTATGATCAGTTTATCAAGAATAACCTCAGATATAATAATTTTATTGTTTTTGGTAACTTTTGCTCAGCTCTGGATATTATATTAGTTTAGATACTTATATATTGGGAAAATTCCTATAAATAGTTACTTTATCGCAGCTCCTTAAAATAGAATAATAATATTTAAGCATTATTCAAGATGTCTTCAATATTAATACCTAAGTAATCTAACAGCATAATATAAGATATGTAATACCTGCCAATAACTTGAGATTTATTTTAAAGATTATATTGCGACAATATTGCAGTATAAAATTCACCTAAGGCACCTTTTGCATCGGATTCGCTTTCGGTGCGTTATGGTTTCGTTTTATTTGCTACGGTGTTTGTCATTTGTTAATAATGCTGTCACTTAGGGCTAGGGTTGCCAACTTTTTATTGCCATTTTTTTCTATCAAATATAGTTTTTTAGAAGCTGTTACCTCTAAAAATATAGTAGATGGCAAAAAGATGGAAATAGTATAGTTTATGGTTAAAATATCTACTTTATTTTTAAAATGAATATATTTTTGCTCTTCCATGCCTTAATAATTATTCTTTTTTTTAACGCTTTTACTGTCAAAAATCTGCTTCAAGCAAAATATAGTAGTTTCGCTTAATATACATTTTTTAGAAATATAATATTTGATCCCTTAATATAATAGGATACTATATCATATAGTAGGTTTGGCAACCCTACGTTGGGGGGGGGGGAGTCGAAAGGTACGCCAGGATTAGAGGTAAAGAATCTGTACCGAAACGGACACATTGAGGAAGCTCTCGCTTGATTACAGATCTATACAGATTCGGTACAGAAACGAAACGATACCGCACCGGCCCGGTGCGGTGAGAGAGGGTGCCTAAGAGTAGAAAAGGGCTATCAAATCAACCCTCATCGCTACCAAACTTACCTACTTTAAACAATCCTTATCCCCTCATTTAAAACTGACCATAGTGACCCTACATATAAAACGTTAAATCAAGTACAATAGGGCAATGGTCGTATTATCAGGAAATTCAATCTGATAAGCCAAAGGGGTTTTCTTTATTTTTCAAGAGTTATTAGTCCCTGAGCTACAGTTATGTCATCGATAACAACGTTAAGGTTCTTTTACGAAGGCCATTTGAAATTTTACGAAGAGCAAGTTGTATAGTTTCAAATCAACGTATTTAAAGATCGTTGATAAAAACGAAGGGTAAATATTGATTGTTGTTGCTTTCTAGGTTGAGTCATACGGCTATTTGTATTGATATAATAGTTTTATTTACATGTAAATTTTTTTTTGTTTATGTTACCTATGAGTTAATATATATCACACAATATTACGAGCACAAAGGAATTTAACTTACCATCAAGTTATATGCGTATGTATGCGTAAATATTAAAGAAACGTCAAGTCAAAATGTATTAGGTCTACTTGCATGAAAAAAGCAGTGTTTTTCGGACAAGAAGCTCTTTACGACCGCCGCCATAGGAAACGAATAAACAAAAGAATAAAGACGTTCCATTTTGAAATGGCCTTACTCAGGTGTCGATAAAGTTAGTCCTTCGGGTGCGAGGCGATCGTAAACCAAGTCATCGTCAGATCGCTTACCAGGCACCTCGTCGGTCGAGCACCCCTGGTAGTAAATTCTAGGTGATGAGCGACGCGGGGAGTTTCATTAGGAAAATGTCATCCATACTCTTTGGTCGAAATTTAGAACGTAGTACCGACTGAGCTTATTACTTATACGAAGCAAAAAAAACGAAACTCTGAAATGTACCTTTTACCAAAATCAAGTAACAATGAAATAGAATTCTAACCAAAGATCTTTATTCAAATTGAGGCTCGTGTTTCTCATATTATTGCATCTTTGTCTCGTATTAAAACGTCTCATTAGCAGCACAGCCTAATTATTGTTTTCTAATCAAAGTATAATTGAAGTTCATAATATTTGCCACTACAAAAACGGCACATTATTTTTTTATGTAACGTGTCGGTTGCTTGACCAATATAAAAATGACAACTTTGTCCCATTGGCTTGTTAGTTGCGACCCAGCAGTGTTATTCTGTAACAACAAACTCACTTACTACCGAGGAATTCACCAGCGTGATTTGAAATTCGTGTTTTTACCTGACACCGCGGTGAAAAGTGAGTTGGTTTTTACAGAATAGCAAAACTGGTACCTAAACCTTCCTTCCTTCACGCGTTACATTTCGCGGTGTGTTATTTAAAAAGCTCGTCGTTCGTTTGATATGTAAATACGGGTTGGTATTAAAACGTCTCATTAGCAGCCCCGCCCCGGCGGCAGGGGCGTGGGTGGGCCGGCGCCCGCTCGTCACACCCACCTGCGGATACCATCCCATATTTTTACTTATTTTACATATATATGTCTATAATACGAATCCTTCAACTGCTTAGGTACTTTCTCAGAACAAGAAATAAAGCATAGCACTCTTCCGCATAGACTTTACAAGGTATTACCAAACCAAAAAGTAAGTAGCGTGTTTGAAAGTTGCATATCCAATTTGACGTTTATATAGTGGTACGCACGCTGTTCATAGCAACGTCTAGCAATATATATTTGTCAAATAAAATTGTAAAATAAAAAAAAAATAAAGAAGCATTACGAAAACTGACAGCTCTATCATTTGCCATATCTTTTATCTTTGGTATAACTTAATGGTATATCTTCTAACCACAAAAACCTCTTAAGCAAAAAACACTTTTCTTCTTCACTTCTCATACCTACTATATTTCTTTTTCTATAAAGTTCGAAACAAAAACTTATTTCTACCCTCCTTCCACAGCATTCTAGAGCTACGGAAAGAGAAGAGCAGAGACGCGGCTCGCTCGAGAAGAGGGAAAGAGAACTACGAATTCTACGAGTTGGCGAAGATGTTGCCGCTGCCAGCCGCCATCACGTCGCAGCTGGACAAGGCCTCCATCATCAGACTGACCATCAGCTACCTCAAACTAAGAGACTTCTCGGGGCATGGCGACCCGCCATGGAGTCGGGACCTGCCGCCTACTAGCAAAGCTTTGAAAGGTAAGATCTTTTACTGTCTTTGCTTATCTAACGCTTTTTAATTTTAAAAAGATAATTGTGGTTTGGTTCTTAATGTAAGTTAAGACTGGAGTAAATAAACAAATAAATATTTTCAATACTCGCACCAACTAGCCTAGTCCCAAAGTAAGCACCGTAACCTTGTATATGGGATACAAGGTATACATATATAAGTATATTTATATACAAATACATATTACAAATCCTTGACTGCAGTACAAATATGCCTCTTGAGCAGGCGACACCTTGAAACTCGGCATACTTCTTTTTGCAACCTGATTTTTACAAAACCAATGAATAAGTATTGGTGTCACCAAATAAAGATGAGTGCGAATGACATTTAAGTGAAGATAGTGTGAATAATCCTGGAATACACGTACATAAACAGAAAAAATGTACAAGTAAAGCACCACTAAGTAAGCATGCCAGGAAAACTCGACTTTTCCTTGAAAGGGGTTATATTAGAGGTCATTAGCAACAAATTAAGTACTAGGGGTCAAAACTGGATGGTTACCGAGTTGTGAAAGGTTCTTCGTTTTTTTAGAATTTTTCCGACTTGCTGCCAAAATCCATTAATTGTGATTAAACTACTCCATTCAAAACATTGAATTGATACTTTTCTGAAAGCTGAAAAAAAGGTGATCATCCAAAAAAAACACTTGCCCAAAACTTACACAATCTCAGAAATAAAAGGACTTTGGTAACAAGAATTTTTATTTTTTGTATTTTTCCCGAACGTCGCTGTAAATTATTGGAAAATAACTGTATCGAATTTGACGTACAAATTAGTGAAATGACTAACCAGTCTCATAAGCTTTCCGAAAAGATACAAAAGCTATTAACTTTGTTAGCAGTTTTTATTAAAATCAGCAAAAGGGTGTTGTAGGGCCTACTTTTCATTTTGATATGTAAATCACAATGTCTGAAATAAAAGATTTTTCCGTATATTGGGGGAGAACTGCATACAGTTCTGGGGATGAGAAAAATATGAAATAAAATGTGCAACTTTTCCTACTCGTTTTTATGTATTCACATGAGTACGTCAGGACCCAGACCTCGACTGCGAACATAAAAGAATGTTGGATTCAGTTCAGAAAAGAGTTGGGACTCCTTTTAGTAATATATTTTAGTTATTATATTACTTTTTTTAAGGTTTTTAGTTTAAGGTTCATTGTTCCTGTATATATTAATGTACATATATATATGTAATAATTTATTCCAATTGGAAAGAGTTATTTTTTGTACTAAATCAACTTTATTTAATAAAAAACCGGCCAAGTGCGAGTCGGACTCGCGCACCGAGGGTTCCGTACAAACCTGCAAGGTTTACAAAGTTCGTTCATTACGACAATCGAGTCATAACTATGGTATTTTTATTGCAAAATGAAATTCATAACATTACAATGGGGAAAGATGGAGGAGCATAAATTTAAGACAAAGATCTCTTTATCGTTTAAGTAATCCTTTATTTTATATTAACACATATTCTATGTCAACGGGAAGTGGTCTTTAGGTTTTAATTCCCTTGCGTGTAGTTGCGAGTTTCAAAATATGCGGTATCAATGGTTGTACTTTTGCGTTTTGCGTTTTTGCGTTGACTTAGAATTTTTTTTTTTTTCACGGGTTAAAGGCAATTAGATCTAAGTATTTGATATGAATTTCAACTTGATAGCTCTACGCGTTCATGAGGAAAAAAGTAATAAGTTTATATTTATTAAAAAATATATATTTTGTAATGTAACTAAAAATTTAAGGTTTTCGCAATTTTCCCTTTATGTGTGCTATAAAACGTTGCTTCATGCCAAATTTCAAGATTCTAGGTCGACTGGAAGTACCCTTTAGGTTTTGATTCCCTTGCGAGTATTTGCGAGTTTCAAAATATGCAGCTTAAATTGCTGTTTCTTTTGATTGCGTTGACATAGAAGTTTGATTTTGTTACAGCTTAAAGGTATTATAGACCTGAGTATTTGGTATGAATTTCAATTTAATACCTCTACGCGTTTATGAGGAAATGGGTAGTAAGGTTAAAATTATTAAAAAAATATATATTATGTGATGTAACAAAAATTTATGGTTTTCGTAATTTTTCCTTTATCTATGCTATAAGACGTTGCTTGGTACCAAATTTCAAGATTCTGAGTTCACGGGAAGCACCCTGTAGGTTTTGATTCCCTTGCAAGTGTCGAAAATTTGCGGCATAAACGGCTGTATCTTTTGATTGCGTTGGCTTAGAAGTTTGATTTTTTCACAGCTTCAAGGGACAGTAGACCTGAGTAATTGATATAAATTTCAGCTTTATACCTCCACGCGTTCCTGAGAAAAAGGGTCTTGACAGACGGACGGACGGACAGACGGACAACAAAGTGATCCTATAAGGGTTCCGTTTTTCCTTTTGAGGTACGGAACCCTAAAAATAAAGCCAAAGATCTTCCAGTTTTAAAATAGATATTTTGTTACAAACAATATTTTATGACAAGGCATCGTTCACAAAGTTGGTAATAATAAAAAAAACATGAAATTTGGTTTTGAGTCAGTTAAATTCACCATATCATTAATTAATTTTGTAGAATTTTCCATCACAGAATCAAGGTTCAATTTTGCATTCAGAGATCTTTATGAGCGAGACATAAACATATCTTTGCGCCGCGAACTTGAGTATTTGATGAATGTATTGATAGTAGTATTTGAGTATTCAAGCACGACAAAACTGCAATACAAAATATTTCATGTCTACTCAGAAGGTATGTGACTTCTTAAAAGGCTTCCTGATGAACAGCGACTTTATCCACTTTGGTGCTGTGGTGGTTTTATACTAATTCCAGCAGCTGTAAATGCTGGATACTTCTATGGTGCCTTCATTGTATCGGTCTATGTGAAGATATTCACTGTTGTTGCTTACGCTTTCGTAGTCTAGCGTTTGCAACCATTATTTGTTGTTTAAACACAAATATTCTTCGCCTTTTTATAGTCCATGTGATTCGATATAGCTTTTAGTATTTGATTGGTGTCTTAATGCCCGTAAAGTGTAAAAAAAGAACATTTTAAATCTATGCTTCACATAAGTACATAGAAATAAGTTGCGTTTGTGACCGGATGTACTCGGATGAGAACATAAGATTTAATAATATAGATTACCTATTTTCTTTTATTCAATATCCAAAGCAAAGGCTTATTAAAATAAGACGTAATTTTATATAATTATAATAAAATTAGGTTGCTGATTAAGTTTTAGGATGGATAAATTGAGATTAGCTATCCATGTGCCATGATGCGACCTTTTTTTTGTGTCTGGGAAATGCTTTACGCATCCTTCAACCGCTGGGGGAGTGAGAAGAGGGTATGTAGGACTCCTCCCTGGCCCCTTTTAGCTAGCCCTGGAGCTCGCTGAAGTGAATACGGCCCTACCTGCGCCCTGAACAGAGCCACTAAAAACCAGACAATACTCCTGCACCGTCACCCGACACGCACTATGAGGACCGCGGTTCCCCTAGTGCGTGCCGAGAGGGCGGGTGTCTATCCCTCCCCCAGGACAGACTCGCGGCTTTTGATGCGACCTGACCGGTCAGATATTTTTCGCTACATTTATCGCAGATTGCTTGACTGCTACGCCAATTAACTGGCAAATATTGAATATGGTTCAGTTTTACAAACTATGCGTGAGAAAATTCGTATTTGACAGACGTAAAGGCTGTAGAATTTTGTAATGTCTATGTACTTGCTTGAGGACGTGCGGTCTGTAGAGGTTTAATTCAAACGCGACATCGAGCTTTTCAGAAACGTTACGGTACATTACCGAGGAGCTTGATGGCGCAAGTAGTTAGCGCGTTCGGCTGCGATCGTTGAAGTTAAGCAACTTTCGCAGTGGTCGGTCATTGGATGGGTGACCAAAAATTTACTATCTCGAGTTCCTCCGTGCTTCGGAAGGCACGTTAAGCCGTTGGTCCCGGCTGCATCTGCAGTCGTTAGCACCCGCCAATCCGCACTGTGCCCGCGTGGTGGGTCATGGCCCAATCTCCCTATTCCATCCATAGGGAAGGCCTGTGCCCCAACAGTGGGGACATTAATAGGCTGATGATGATGATGACATTACCTATAAGGAAATGCTGTACTTATTTGCTGGTATTATGCATTCGCAAGAACGTTTGACAATAAGGTAACACTAGAAGAAAATCTCTATTTTTTTGTGAACTTGGCATCTATAGTGAGGTCTTAACCTAAGGGTAATAGAGCTAAAATTGTGAAGCCTGATCTGGAATTAGTACAAATAAGTAAACAGAGGAGATTGAGGAGCTCGATGGCGCCAGTGGTTAGCGCGTTCGGCTGCGATCGTTGAAGTTGAGCAGCTTTCGCAGTGGTCGGTCATTGGATGGGTGACCAAAAATTTTCTTTCTCGAGCTTCTCCGTGCTTCTGAAGGCACATTAAGCCGTTGGTCCCGGCTGTATCTGCAGTCATTAGCACCCACCAACCCGCACTGGGCCCGAGTGGTGGGTCATGGCCTAATCTCCCTAATCCATCCATAGGGAAGGCCTGTGCCCCAGCAGTGGGGACATTAGTAGGCTGATGATGATGATGAAGAAAACAGATCTTATGTTTGGTTATAATGAAAGGTTCTATGGTGGCTTGAGAGATACTTTGATTGTGAAAAGCTGTCGAGTTCAACTACCTCCGTGCTAACGATTGCGTGATAACATCCGTTACTCAGTCAGAAATGCTCACGGCGCTTGCGACTCATTTGTGGACGTTTAAATTAATTATATATGAGTATATAAATAATCCTGACACGTTAACTGGCGCTTACCAATGCTCATCACACAAATGTTCGCCTTATCAGGAATCGAATACAGGCTCTTTTGACATAATCACAGCTGGTATGCTGGTAGGTTAGTTACGATATGTGATCGAATATAGTGTTTAAAAAAAGATTACATAATAATTTGGGGATTATTTCGAGATTTGATTGCAAGAAACGAAACTAGTTGCT